AGCTTTCAAATTTGGCCACGCTCCTTGGTCAGTGGACAAGTGAAAATTCTTAGATTTCTGCAGCAACAACTATGGGAACAGCGGGGCCAAGCGTTCAGATGGAAAGGGGTCCACTGGAAACAGATGAATCACTGAGCTGATTCACCGACAACATGCAGACACTGAGGGGTGCTCACATTTCTGGAGACAATGAGTTGAACTCTTATAAAAACACTGAATTCTTTTAATAAGTATCCTTTCACATTAACGAGGAAGGAAAAGGGGGTAAGAACTATTCAGGAGGTAAAAGTCATTGGAAATATTGGAGATCAGCGGAAAGAGGATGGAGGGAAAGAATGAACCCTAGGTTTCTGACTGGTATTAACGGATAGATGGTACAATCACTCAGACAGGAAACCTTAAACAATAAAACCAGGGCAATCATTTTTTTCTATGTAATTATATCCCTGCTAAGTACTTTTTAAAATAAGTGATGAACTTTCCTTTAACATTAAATTATTTTCATTGTTAAACATATCTTTCCAGTCTTCTCTACCATAAAACAAAAAACTAAGATGCCAAGTATTAAAATCTGTTCTTTTGTCTTCCTTTCAATCTGAGGTAACTTCAAGTGTGATACAGGGTTGGGGAGAAACCAGGCTCAGCATTATGTCTGATTCAGATCTGCTCTTACAGATATGATTTTGTTTGGCTGGTATTCTATCGATGACTAAGGACAGTCTCTAGATAATAAAAAATAATTTTGACACTTCCAAGGTAAGGGAGATAGTTTCTACAGTGAAGTAAAAGGTTTGGAATTTTTTATTTTTTCCCCCGAGCAATTGTGAAGTTCAGAGTATAACAGACACTGCAGATCAGCAGCTTTATCCTGAGAAAAGAACTGCACTGCTTATAGTTGCCTCTCTCTTCCTGTAAGTCAAAAGCAAGTTTAAACAGAACAAGTTCAGCTAAATTCTACTTGACACAAAAGACTCGGGAATACAGAATTCCAAACTGGTAGGAACTACAGAGTCCTACTTAGGGAATTGAATTAGCAATAGGGGATATACATTTTAAAAAGTTCCAGGTACTCAAAAACGCCCTCCAGTATAGAAAACTGAGACTTGCAGTTTCAATCACCAGCTTGCCAGTAAAATCAATAAACCACACAGTTGGATTCAGAATCTATATTCTTCAAATTTCAAATTTAGCACACATTTTATTTCAGAAAATGTGAATAAAACATCACCTGAAATAAAGTTACATATGGATATATACAAATAATAAGCTCTGATTTAAAGATTTTTGGTGTAACTTAAAGATCTTATAGTTTCATAAAATTTATATATTTTTAAAAGATATATATATATTTTTTAAAGACATATTATACATATATGTATATAAAGTAGAGACTTGAACACTGGTATAATGGACAAAACATGAAAATAAATTTACTAAATTCAGTGATAACACTATCTTTTCATAGTATCTGAGGTTAAATTTTGATTTAACAAAAATAATTCCTCCATTTTTTTAAAGAATTTCATCATTCTTTAGTGAATTTAATAGTCTAACTACATAATAAAGTAGACACCATTTTATGCTAATAAGGCTAATCTATTTATTAAACTGGCTGCCAACGTGGCTTAAACAATCTTTTGTTAAACTTATCAACAGCAAGAGTTTTGAACTAATAAAAATCAATATCCGCCCAAACATGTTGGAAAACAAGTTGCAGATGTTCATGCTCCACGACTCAGTGACTAACACACTGACATCAACACGGCGCTCGCCAACAGCGCTGAACGTGAGCATGCTGAAGAAGACAAACAAGCAGAGTGCATTTACACACAAAACGTAAACCCTGCAATAGCACATACTGCAGGGATACATACGCTCATAGCAAAAATACAGTAAGTCCACAGGAAAGGCACAGATCAATACTGGAAGGGGTTGCCTCGGTGGCAGGAGGAAGAAAGGAGGCCAAGGTGGGAGGGCGCAGAGCAGTGCTGGGTAGGTAGGTGCAGAGGGGCTCGTCTTATTGGTCTTTATGCCTCGTGTGTCTTAAATATTTCATGATAAATTGAAAAACATTTTTCTGCCAGAGGACAAAGTCCTGTTTACGCTGCGAGATGTAATAATCTTGATGACTGCATGAGTAATGGCTTCCAAGGCCCCATCCGGTCCAGCCCGCGCTCTGCCACTCACCTTCTGCTATACGCCCTCTGTCAACTCATTGTAGCTCACTGGCCTTTGCCCTGGGTTTCACAACTCCTTCCAGTAACCTCTTCCCTATATAAGCATAATCAACGGCTTTCAGTGGGTAGATGCATAATAAATGTTAGTCTTTTTCTTTAAAACACAAAAACAAAAACGTCTTTCTGGATTTTCTCTATTCTCTCCAAAATGTCAACACACCGTCATATTATAAAGTCATAAAATAAAGGGATAAGAGAAAAGTACTCAGGGCCATTGTAGACCTCTTTGTACTACACGAAATACACTATATTTTATTCCCCAAAGAACAAAGTCTCTGATGGCACTGAGTATCAGTACTGCTCTCGCTGCCTGGAACACTCTTCCCCCAAGCACCCGTATGGCGTGCTCCTCCCTCCTCCGGTCTTTGTCAGATGCCACCTTCTCAGTGGAGGCACTCTTGCCACCCTACCTAACATCACAGCTCCCGCTGTCCTCACTCCCTGTCCTGTTCTGGCTGGCTTCACGTTTTTCACGGCACACTATCTAGCTCACTTCCCTCACATGTGAGATACACAAGGGCAGGAATTTTAGTCTGTGTTCGCTGCTATATCTCCAACAACTAAATCAGTGCCTGGTATATCACAACATAGTAAATACTTGTTGAATCACAACACATAAAGTTGCAACTGCTGAGTCCAGTGAAGAAGCAGAGAGTGCTAGGGGAGCCTGCAGGAAGGGAAGAAAGCTTACCTGAGAAAGTCCAATTTGATGTGAGACTTAAGGACGAGTGGGAGTTAACTAGGATGGGCACAGGCTCGTGGTGAGGAACTAAAAGGCCAGTGTAGCTAGACCAGAAAGCGGTGGAAAAGGTGTAAGATGTGGCTGGAGTAGGGAGGAAGAGGCAAAACTGTGAAGAGATTTGTAGACCTATCACATTAGGATAGTCTGTCTTTATTCTCAGAGCAACAGGAAGACACTGAAGTGTTTTAAGCAGAGGGATCATATAAGCAGATTTACAAGTGAAAAGATTATCGTGGTTACTGGGTAGAGGGAAGTTTAGAACGGTCACAGTGGATATAGGTAGATCAGGTAAGAGGGTAATAATACAGCTGAGTTAAGATGTATCTTGGATTGGGGTGTTGGGGGTTGAGGGAGAGAATGAACAGATATTTAGAAGGTTAAAAAAAAAAACCAATAGGATTGGTGTCAAATTAGATCAGGGAGTGGGATCAAGGGGATTTTAAGGTTCACTTCTAAATTTCACAAAGTACTGTCAGATGTCTCAGGAAAATAAAAAATTCCCATTGAACTGAAGTCTATGACTAAGTAGTCATTTTCTAGATCTTCAAGGTCCAAAACCTTAGCCATGTGTGGCTACTAAGTACTTGAAATGTGGCTACTCCAAATAAAGGTGTGCTAGAATTGTACAATGTACACTCAATTTCCAAGTCTTACATAGAAAAAAAGAATGTAATAATTATGTCAATAGCTGTTATACTAATTACAAGTTGACGTGATAATATTTTGGATATAGTAGGTTAAATAAAATTAATTTCACCTGTTTTTTTTTTTTTACTTTGTAATGTGGCTCCTAGAAAATGTCAAGTTATATAAATGGCTCACATTATATTTCTATTGGATAGCATTAATCTCATATGAAACAGCAATACAGTCACTGAAGTTTATTCAAGAGAAATACATATGAGAATATGGCTGAATTTCAGGGCAAAAAAATGTGATTTTTGTAAAGAATTTAGTTTTTTTAATTCAGTAATGTGAGGAAATGAAATTTCAGTTTTTGTCATTTAAATAGAAAAGCCATTTCCTGTTTATGCCTTACTTATACGACAGATTGTTCCTCTTCCTCTACTGCTAACAGAGGGGTTCTACTGATAGCCCTCCATGGTAAGACAGGGAAAAGTTGGAACTGCAGAAATCACAGGGCCTCACAGATCAATTAGGCCCACCACTTCATTTTGTAAGTGACAAACTGGAGATACTAAGACTTCAAGTAATTTACTTGAAAACCACAGGACTAAAACTGTCTATACCATGTTAAGATATAGATATTTTCTCTAACTCATTTCATCTAGTCATTACATTAGACTTGTATATACAACAAATCTATTTTTTCCCGAAAACAACTAAAAATGTATCTTACAGCACTAAGTGTTAGTATTATCAATGACTCGGTTTAGGGGTACAAGATTCTGAAACCCAGTTCCAACAGTTAGCTACGTATCAAGGGCTACTGTCATTGTGTTTCCTCATCAGCAAAATACATACCACCATACTCAGGTTGTGACATCGATAGGAACACTACACACACACACACACACACACACACACACACACACACACACACAGTGTAATCAATGGCTTACAGTGGGTACATGCATAATAAATGTTAGTCTCCTTCTTTTTAAAATAAAAACAAAAATGCTTTCCTTCATTCTCTCCAAAATGTCAACACATAGTCATGTTATAAAGCCATAAAATAAAGATATAAGGGAAAAGACTACTGGAGTAAATTGTGAAACCCAGTGTATTTTATTCCCATTCTCCCATTAAAAAGCTTCAACCTCTCTAAGCCTATTCCACCCCCTTCAGTAATGTGATGAAGCCAAATCAAAATGATTCAAATAGTCCTGTCTATGACTCAGCGATGTATAGCTGTGCATGCCACATGAGTTGCTGAGGCCTGAAAAGCTTTAAACATTTAAAATTTAAGGAGTATAACCTGACAATTCTAAAACTTAGTTTGGGATACTATAATTGCCTACTTTTGTATATTTAAAAGGAAAGTTCTTAAAACTACTCACATCTGGTTGAATGGCTTTAAATACTGGAACATCCATTAGTGTTATCTGACCCTGAAATTAAAAACAAACAAAAAAAATGACAAATTCTTCTTTGGAATTCCATGATATGACATATATTCTAAATTAAAATTATATTCTGCATTAAAATATATTAAGTAATCAAATCTTTACCAAAAAAAGTCTCAATTTTATAAGGGCTTAAGAAACTGAAAATTCAGCCCTTATATCATTAAACAATTATTTCTAATTATCGCATATGTATTTGTATTTTCTTGTGAGATTAAATGAGGTAAAGTTAGAACAAAAATAATTTTGAAATTTTTAATGTATGAAAAGTCATACATTAAACCAAAAATAAAAATCAGATCTACCGGTTCATGGAGTAGTGTTGTTGTGACTCTTAAATCATATCTCCTCAAATGTTAATATAAAATCAGAATTAAAAGGTTTTCTTCCTAATTTATAAAAAGTAATGAGACTACACTAGTGCCAACTCACACTGAAGGGCTTCACATGGCTATGGACCGTTCTCACTGTGGCTACAGATGTAAAACGAAATCCAACAATATACCAAAGAATAATATGCTATGACCAAACACAGTTTACTCCTGGCTTGCAAAAGTGGTTCAATATCAGGAAATCAATATATTCTGTTAACAAGTTAAAGGAGAAAGACAACAAAAACAATTTCAGTTAAGAAATAAAAGTTTTTCTGAGTAACTTTCATGATATTGCAATAATGCCTTCAACTTTCATTTTTCAAGTTTTTAATTTATAAAAACATAAAAATACCTCCAACATGTCAATAAGATAGAGTTGGCTTAGGGAGGTGGTACAGGAAGGGACTACGGAAGCATTTACCATAAAGGCAAGCACTTCTACTTATTCTAACCAAGCTGAAAGTGTCATTTATGATACTGCTCTAAAAATAGTTACAGCTCTTCTTACCTTCTCCATTTCATCCCTCTGCTTGCTCCATCATTGTGCTACTCTTTCTATTAATTCCCACATTCAGCTTTCTTTTCTTTTCTTTTCTTTTTAACCATCCTCTCTGCTGGGCCTACAAATTCTAACTCAACTGCTCCAATATGTAATTATGGGCCAAAACTGGAGAAAGGAGAGGTGGGAGGCTTACCGCATATTCTTCCGGTGTAACCTTAAGAACATCAAATACCACGGCGTCAAAGCTTTTCTTCAATTCAGAACCCTTGTCACTTAATGATTCAGAACTGCTACTTTTCTGTAAATTGAAAGAAAATGTAGCCATTTTAATACTATTTCACAGTCAATGTCATAGAAACTCGACTGTCATTAAAAACAGAGGAAACTTCAGAACAGTGGGTAGAAAATGCTGTAGAAAAGTTGGGCAGAACATGCTGCTTAGTTGGAAGAGCACTAGACAAAGAAAGAGTCAGGGTTGAAATTTAACCTTGACTTTAGATTTTTAGGTTCTCGGTTAAGTCATTTTCTTGTGTCAGTTTCCTCATTTTGACATCCTATCACTTCCTATAGAAATAAAAGATTTTAACAAGTTCAGTGATTCTCAAATGGGGTAAAGAGAAGTTAGGAGAGGAGAGGATGCATCTATTTATAAGTTTTTAAACTAACTTTTACTTACAAAAGATTATTTATTTTTATAATATAAGCCACAAGAAAACATTTAGAAGTGCACTTATTAAATAACCCAGTCTTATTTGTTAAGTGAATGTCTGTCTGTGATGATACAACTGATATTGTTCTTCCTATTATTACAAATTGAAGTGATTTCTGCTTTCAAGTTACTGTTTTAAGTTTGAATTTGCTGTGCTATCTGGAGAAAGAAGCATGGCTTTTGACTCTGAAAATCTTATTTCTGTTCAATTTCCACTTCACCTGTACCATGATACAAAATATATTCTGCATCAGTTGGCTAAAATCAGAGCATCATCACTGTAATAATACTTAGATCATCATCCTCTACTAAATGGTGGCAGGGCGTATCAGGCTACAGTTAATGGCACAAAAAAATTAACCAAAGTTTCAATTACCAAGGTATAATATGTGTCAACCTACAAGCTGTTGTAAATCAGTTTTGAGTAGTTGTCATTATGTCTCATTTTTACTTTCCCCCTCCCTTTCAGTAACAGATAAATACCAAAATCATTACAAAGGAAGGGATCCGTCAATTTGGGATAATTCTCAACCATTATGATTTCAAATATTTCTTCTGCTTTCTCTTTCTTCTCCTGCGGGGTAGTCCCATTATGCGTATGTTACACCGTCTATTACGTCCCACAGTTCTTGGATATTCTGTTCCATTTTTTTTTTTCCATTCCATTTTCTCTTGGGATTTCAGTTTGGGAAGTTGCTGTTGACATATCCTCAGGCTCACTGATTCTTTCCTAGGCTGTCAACTGGTCACCAGCTTACTGGTGAGCTGATCAAAGTCGTTCTTCATTTTTGTCACAACATTTTTCTTTTTTTTTTTTTAGCTGAGCCATCCTGCCACCTGTTTGTTGGCAGCTCAGTGGCAGCTCAGCTTGGGCCGGGAATCAAACCGGTGACCCTGTTGCTCAGAGCTCACACTCTTGAGCAAGCTCTTAACCAACTGAGCCACTTGGCCGGCCCTTGTCACACTGTTTTTGATTTCTAGCATTTCCATTTGATTCTTAGAGTTTCACTATCCCTGCTTACATTATCCATCTGTCCTTGCATATTGTCCATTTTCCCATTAGAGTTTTTAGCATTATTAATCATGGTTAATTCCCAGTCTGGCAATTCCAAAGTCTCTGCCATATCTGAGTCTGGTTCTGTTGCTTGCTTTGTCTCTTCAAACTGTATTTTTTTCTTTTCTTTTAGCATGCTTTATAATTTTTGAAAAAGACATGATGCGCTGGGTAACAGGAACTAAAGGAAACAGGCCCTTAGTGTACGGGTTTATGTTTATCTAGGCAGGAGTTGTGTTTATTGTTTGTTATTGCTAGAGGTTATCTATCTGGGTGTTCAATTTCCTCTGTGTCCTTGTTTTTGTCTCTCCTGTTATCTCTGAGTTTCCCTAGAAGGTCCTTCTTAGAGTCTGTGCCTCACCGTTCTTTCAGCTCTAATCCTTTATTACCCTTATATACAGGAGCCCTGCTGATGTGGTGCTGAGGTGTGAGGAGAGGAGAAGCCTTCCTCAGCCCTACAATCAGGTCTTCCAGGGAGCCTGTGCCCTTGGGCTGTGCCCTTCTCAACTGCTTCTCAGTGGTCTTACTCCCCTTAGTGAGACAAGCAGGGTAGAATAGAAGGGGCTGGAGTTGGGTATTTCCCTACCCCCAAGTAGCTTAGGCTCTAGTAGTTTCCCTTGGTATTTTTGGGGAAGGGGGAGAACAGAGGCATACTTCAGAATGAATACTTCCCCAAGCATATTGCAAAATGGTTAGTTTTCCCCTTCCCCTGCTGGAAGCAGGAGGGGATTTTTCTCTGATCTTCACTGTGAGAACCTGGTGGGGCTCCTAAAGGTAAAATGCACAAAAGGTGGGGAAGGGGCCTAAGACTGGGCCCCCAGAAGTCTTTAACTGTCAAGCTGGTCCATACACAGCTACGACGGAAATTTTCCTCCTCTTTCCGGGCTCCCATGGCATTCTGCTCTTGGTAAACGGTGATTTTCTTTATTTGCCTCTCTCGCCAGTTTTTTGGGCATCATTGTCAGTTTGCTCTGTGACATCAATTCTCTGACAGAGCTAAGACAGTTACTGATTTTCAGTTTGTTCAGTTTTTCCATGTTGTGAGGACTGGAGTGATGAATTCCAAGCTATTTACATGTCCAAGCAGAAATCCAATGCCCCATAAATGGATTTTATACATAGCATTTTATTTCATGTATTATTTTATGTCCTAAGACTAATATATTGGGTTGTCGGAAAAGTCTTGATGCATTTTTGCAATGAAAAACAGAGAAAAAATACGTCATGACTTTTCCAACAATTTATTCACAATGTTAAGCATTCGGACATCATCAGTTAAGCAGAACACGCTAATCCAGTAACTGCCCAAGTAACTAATCACATCCTGTCAAGTAACAACTTGGTAATTAAACATAACTTGGTAATTTTCTCCAAGATTTTAACTCAAGACAAGTTAGCAAATCATAATGGCAATTTCATTGGTCATCAAAATAAGTACCGTAATCACTTTCCTTGTGTCCTTATCACACAAGCCATTGGGAGAGGCTTCAAAAATTACTAGTGATGTGCTTCCATCTGCTGCCCCAACACCAGTGAATATGTTGGTAATAAGCTAAGCAGTACTCAAGATCCACTAAGAGGATAGTTAGGAATTCTGTACACGAGACTAAATGTCACGTCTAAATGTCTAAAAACAGTTCACTGCAGCTCCACACAGTGGAACCTTCAAGTCCAGGTGAAGAGTAATGGCACCGAGACAGGAGAAGTCAATCATCCAAGTCAAGTATTTTATCCATTCTGTAAGCTTATCACATTTAAGAGAAAATTGCATTTTAATATGATAATAGATCTATATTTTAAGAAAAGGTGGGAAATATGTATTTTTAATTCTATTTTCTTGCCACGGTAGGGCAATTAATTATAGCAGAAAGCCTTTCCCCCACTTATTTCTCATATACTAATTTATACTACTCTGAGGCCTGATGCAATTCATTCACTTTTGGAAAGTCAACAGAATTTTTTATGTAAGTGAAATGATCTATTTTTATTTGCTTAACAAATAATTGTGGGTATTTCCCTACCCCTAAGTAGGTTAGGCTCTAGTAGTCTCCCTTGGTGGGGTAGGGGAGAGAAGGGGGCTCCCTACCGCTCCGTTTCCTATAACACTAGACCAAATGTTTCAGGATATACAGTTATGAATACTATACATAAACACATACATTTAAGGTATTCAAGTAATATGGTTATAAATATACCAAGTAAACATATATATATATATATATATATATATACACACACACAAACATATATGTATATATATACAATCATATATATATATATATATATACACACACACACACACACACACAAACAAACATATAATCCCTATCTCAAGGAGGAAGAAAAGCTATGAATAAATTTATGAAAAAATGATTTAAAAAGTGGGTTTTTTTAAGTGATAGTTTCAGAAACAGAAAAGTTCCCATCTGCTCAGGGGATCAGAGAAAGGCTTTCCTGAAAGTATAGTATTTGAAACAGGTTTGGAAAGACAGACAAATGTCTCTTTTGTGTAGTGGGAGGGTGGGGCACAGTGGAATGGGAAGAGGAATTCCAGGTAGAAAAATGGCTATAGGCAGATATAACAGAAGTAGGAAAAGCTACACAAACATCAGCACGATGTAGTATTCTTTCATGGGATTGTAAATTTCAAGTAGAGGATTAGAACTAGTTAAATCCATTAGAAAAAAAAATTAGGGCCATTTTAAGGAAAGTCTTGAATGCAAGGCTGAGGGTCATTTGTATTTAATTAGTAGACAATGAGGAACCACGGACAATATCAAGATACAATAAAGTTTAACAGCTATATTTTAAGAATATTAAAAGTGAATTATTGTCGAATGGACCAAATACAGCAGAGAATAGAAGTGAAAGATCAAACTAAAAGGCGGTTGCAATGATCTAGACAAGAAATAACAAATGGCCAAATGAAAATGGTAGCAGCAGAAAGGAGGAGGAAAGGACTGGATCCTGGAGTGAAGTGTGGTGGACAGGCTCTAGGCTGCCAGGGACCTCCGTCTCTGGAGTCACATCCCACAGAATCCTCTCCACTTGAGTGTGGCAGGACCTGTGACCTGGTTTGAACCACCAGCATAAGCAGAGATGGTGGGATGACCCTTCCAAGAATACTTTACTTCCAAGTACAACCCTTCCAAGAAGACTGTGAGCTTGTTTTGCAGGCACAGTCTTCCTGCAGTGATGAGAAAATGATTGTGGTGGGCAAAGGAGAAGCAAGTTAATGACAAATCCAAAGATTTAAACCCATATGGCGAGGGAGATGGTGGTGCTATCAACGTAAGTCAGGGAAAGGAGCTGGACTATTTTCTTCACAGATTGTGTGGCAAAATACTAGTGAGGAACTTCATTTTGTTCATATTATAAGTAAAATGTCTGGTCCATCAGAAATACTTAATAAAACTTATGAGGGAAGCCAGAGCTAGAGATAAAAATATAGAAATCATTTGTATATGAAAATAATCGAAACTACAGACTTTGAGTAATTTCAATCAAGGCCTAAGTAATTGGCTGGGGCAAAGTGGAGTTGAATTTATTAAAGAAATTTGAGGCCAAGGTGTTAAAGGGTCATAAACATTATTCTCATCCTATATAATAAGAGAGAAAAAAAGGAAAAATATAGGAGCTACATGCTAAAGTTATTAAGGAAAGCAGGCAAGTACCCTAGATTTAGAGGTAAAATAAAATAGAGAAAAAGGTGAGGCCAAAATAAAATCGTGATACATTAATTAGAGAGGTGAGCATCTTGTTCAGTCTTCATCGCCATCTGTACTCTCTAAGCCGCATCACCACAGTAGCCCTTCCGACACTGCAGGCTAATGCTTCTTTGATCTCCTTCAACAGGCTTGGAATCAAGAGATCTAGACAGTGTCCAAAATTATATGATTCCAAATAAAAGAATCTTTCTTTGCCTCACTTGTACTATTGCCCTTAAGGTACATGTAATGTAAAAATATCCACAAAAGAAATTCCATGTGTCCTTTAAAACTAAACCCAAGAAAGGATTTTAAGTAATCAGTAGTTGTCAAGTATCTTAAGTGGGTAAGGATTACCTGTTTCTAAGATGCACAGTTAACATGTGAATGGTACCATTAAAGAAGGTTTTTAAAAACTAAAAAATTTATAACCATTTTTCTCGAGTTCTGATTTAAATGTGTGACCAACCATAATGCTTGAGAAATCAGAATGCCAGGTAAGAAACTTTACAAGTAAACTCCTTGAATGTCTTACCTCAGAGGCAGTAGCAGCAACATTCACACTGCTTGCCTGCCCGTTCATTAGGTCCATGCTTCCCACATCAGTCCCTGACGCTGTTAGCAGCACAGAAGACTGACTCCTTCACGTCCAAGGCCACAAATACATTATTATTCCTGGAAAAAGTAAACAAAAATTGAAATGCGTGTCTAATTATTATTCAAAGTTTAAGAAAACAAATGTCAACAAATGATTTTTTTCAACCTTACTGAACTCTTTATTTCAGTTAAATCACTAAATCCAGTGAAGACAATCCTGTACGCTATTTTCAAATAATCAGACACACCAAATCGACAGTGTTCAGTATATGTTACCGTTATGCTCCGAAATCAGCAACGCAAAAGCATAATTTTTCACTTATTATAAGAAAAACTCAAAAACTTTTTAAGTTTTAAGTAAAGAGTGTAAAAAAATACATGGCAAAGTAACACATGGTATAACAATAAACTTTTAGAGATCTAAATGACATCCCTAAATCAACAATACTTAACAAGTTTACCATTACTCATAAACCAGTTGACAAAGATACCACGAATACCACAATGATATATTTATTTGCATCAAGTTCTAAAGTTTATTGAATATCTTCAATCCTTTATCTCACTGATATCCTCAACTATCAAGAAGACTCATTAAGAAAGATATTATACTCATATAACACAGAAGAAACGGCCTCTGAGGACACAGCCTGGTAAATGAACCAAAAATAAAATTCAAGCCATCCAAAATTCTAGTCAAATATTTTTTTCCACAATACCGTATTTCTTTTCACTTTATTAAAAGTCAGAATATTTACCTGAGGTTCTAATCCCTTTCTACAAATAGCCTCATCTACCTAGGACAGAATTTCTTGCTCTCTGCAAAATGATAAATGGACTTTTAAGGTCACTTTCCAACTTTAAATTTCTATGATGTTATTCATAATAGAAACGGTAAGTGTCTATAAATTAGGTATCTAAAAACTATACCCCCTTTAAAAACTGAGTTTGAAATATCAATAATAATTCTCTAGATGCTAAGTTGTCCTCTCTCTGGAGAAGCATTAAAGGATAGTGATTTAGAAGCACAGATCAGAACAAGGCTGCCTATATTTAAACCCAGCACAATGTTTAACTTTTCTGTCTCATTTTCCTTATCTATAAAATAATAATAATAACAAAGTACCTACTTCAGAGAGTTGTGATGAGGGCAAATGAATTAATATATGCAAAGCACCTAAAACAGTGCTGACACATGGTGTGTATTATGATGATGATGCAAATTTTATCTAATTAATCCACACAAAGCTTAAATATGAATCGAGTCTTCTAATTAAAAAGACAAAAACCTTAGAAACACAACTCTGACAAAACACATGTTGGTGGGCATCACCAAAATCCTAACTGCAAACACAATGAGAATGCCTCAAGTCTGTTTCCTAGATGTAGCAAAGCATATTTCTGGTTTACAAATGCTTAAAAACTATTACTAATGATAGCAGCTTTCAGTCACATCTTAAATGTATCTTCATTTCTTCAGATATATCCTAAGTACCTGCTAAGAGCAAAACATTGTGCTAGATTTTTTTAATGAAAAATATATTAGAAATAATGGATTTTTAAAAACAATTTAAAACACATTTAGAAAATCAACGTGAAAATGAATAGAGCAGAGAAATACTTTAACTTCCTCCAATCCATAGCATTTCATTTTATAAGCTTCACTATCCTTATGACACTATTAAGAACAACTTGTATTTACGCTGCTACACAAAACCATCTTGATAATCCAAATTCTCTCTGAAGGCAACATTCAGTTTGCAATGAAATGTTTTCAAATAATTTTTTTTTACAATCTTTTTTTAATAATTAAAAATTGTTTTCAGTTACAGTTGACATACAATACTATATTAGTTTCAGGTGTACAACACGGTAATTAGACATTTATATAACTTAAGAAGTGATCCCTGATAAGTCTAGTACCCATCTGACATCATACATAGTTATTACAATATTATCGACTATATTCCCTAGTCTGTACTTTACTTTCCTGTAACTATTTTTATAACTGACAATTTGTACTTCTTAACCCATTCACTTTTTTCATGTATTTCATTTCATTCCATATTCTACACAGATTAATTTAGATATGAATTTATAAATCAAGAGTGCCCCCTAGTGTTAAGAAAAATATTTTAATAAAATTGTTAAAGGAAATGTATCCTTAATCTACTTTATATATGAAATATATAAATTTTATTAGTATTATTTACTGAAAAAGAGGTAATACAGACCAGGAATAAACATTAATACATTTGTAAACTATAAAACTAAAGAATCAACTTTTTTCTGCCTGCTTTTAATTCAAATAGCCCAAAAATTAAGGTCATATTAAAATCCATTGTTTTTAGTAAAAAAACAACAAAAAGTACAGCAAAGCATACCTTAAAGAAAATCCTATTCATAACTATTTACAAATGTACTACATGTCACTAGTATTTAACACTGTTAAAGGACAACAAAGCTGCATATGATACTATAAAAACACTGCAAGTCCTAAAAGAGTTTATTTTTTAGTATACGTCTCAAGACCTTTCTGTGCTTTTGCATACAGAAAAGTTCAAATTAAGCAATACAAATCTATGCTTTAATATTTACTTTTCCTAGTGCTATGAATGGCACAATCATTCATGACCCGGTATCACAACAGCTCTTTTCTTAAATTCATTAATTTCTACATATTTTCTTCTGAAACTTTTAAAGACAGTTAATCTGACTTCTTTGGAGTCTAAATCCCAAAACAGGCATGTTGCTTCTTTCCAAGCAATACAATTCCCAAATAGGAAATCTGCGATGTGTAGATTTAGTTCCTTGCTTGAGGTCACAAAACTAGATTAAATTGCAGGCACACTCAAGCCTCCTAACTCCCCACCTTCTCAATGTATTGCCACCAAGAAACCAATGCTTTTAAAATAAGGGAACAAGGAATTAAAGTGACAATTTCTCACTAATCTAATTTCATTTCAGAGTACCAGTTACGTATTCTTTTGTAAAATAATTTATGCTATCATTAGGAATATTATGCTAAAGACATTTATAGTTTTGCAAAACATACTCTAGAAGAGTTAATCAACAATAAGGGAAATAGTACTGAAATACAATTAATCAGTGGAATTTCTTTGGGAACATTCAGACAATACAGAATTAACACGCTCATACACTTTGGCTTAAAAATCTGTCCTGGAAATTCACCTCATCAAAACTCTGGAGAAAAAATATAGATATTTAGATATTTAAACAAATAGATATTTATATGTATCTATAGCTATGTAATATATAATATAAAAATAAAAATATATATTTATATATTTAAATATATATTTATATAGATCTATAAAAATATATAAAGCTATTAAATTAAGCACTATTTACAACAGTGAAAACCAGAAGCAACTTTAATGCCTTTGTACATAACCACATTAAAAAATCCAAATGAACAATTATAAAGAAACATGAAAATAGAAGTGACAGGTTCAATAGCACTAAAACTTGTTATACTATTCTTATAAGATTATGCGAAAAAAAGTAATAGGATGATTATAACACTACAATTGCAATTCAAAATTTAAAAGTTATTACAGAATTTGCTTCCCTTTAAAATTTGTTTTCAAATAAACACCACTAAAGACACATTTTGTATGACACTTATGGAAAACCCAAATATTTAAATGGTCTGTATATCATAGCATTAAGGCAAGCTCACTTCAGCATGTATGACAACTAAACTTGCATACTGTCCTTAATATTAATATAAGAAAATTGGCGATGAGTCTCAAATTCCCTACCTCTTTGTTTCTATAACTGTAGTCATCAAAATGCTGATGAGTAACAAAGAAGATTTTGCTTTCAACATAATTGACACTGAGCTACTCTGACAAAAGTTTAATAAAAAAATGTAGTTACCTCTTAAAAACATTTCTGGTATAGTGCTAAGCAAGATTATCTTGGCTATTTGCCACCCTTAAAAAGTTCAAGTTATTACAAAAGAAAAAAAAAGGGGTTCTGATGCATGCGGGATAGTAAGAGTTCTCCAATGCTTCCCACAGAGAGGTCATTAGTCTTCGGCCACTGCGCTTTCACTGCTCTTGTGTCAAAATTCTATTGCTAAAATTTCGCACTGATGTATTTATGTATCTCTCCTCAATGAACTTTTGAGTTCCTTGAGGTTAAAGACTCATATTTAAAACAAGACGTAAAACCACTATTTTTCATTTCTGAGTGCAGGCACATAAACACAATACCTGACCTCAAATTACCTATTTAATAAGTATCTGTTGAAAGAATGAGTGAATGACTGAACAAAGTCATTCTATAAATGCCCAATTAATGATAAAAGTTGAGAGAGAATGGCAATCAAATAATCAATAGACAAAAAATACTACACACATTCAAAAGAATACGATGAGGATTTCTATTTCCAGCAACATGGCTGACAAAACAATGTAAAATTTTTTGCACTACAAAAGAAATTAAGAATGGGCTTAAATTTTCATACCAGTTGGACAGAGAAGAAAAGGTAACCAAAAGACGAGAATGGAATTGAGACCCATACACTCTCCTCCCCACTCCACCCACACACACCTTAACTGAAAATAAAGCCAAAGAGATTGATGTCTACCCTCATAAGTGATAAGAGAGTCTATTAAAAATATATATACTGCTCATCTAGGGTCAAGGGAATTGTAATAGATATGTATGATATTGGGGGGCGGGAAATGGGGCGGCGGATTGGGGAAGGGGGGTTGTCACCTCGAGGGGTAAAAAGTATAACTATTGCACTGTGTTGTACAGTTGAAGCTAATTCTAAAAAATGTGTATTTCACAATAAAATACACACACACACATATATATATATATATATACATACATACACACACACACACACACACACACACACACACATACTGGTATAGGAGGATAAGGGAACTTGTCTGCCCTCACCTGGGGGAGGCTGTCTACAAAATGAAAATTTGTAATCTAGGCATGCTCCTTCCTGTACAGATATAGAATTTGAATTTATTTACCAGCATGGTCCAAGACCCTCAAGACAAGAAATTCACATTAAATATGTTCACAAG